TAGGCACCAGACCTCACCATGCACCGCTCTTTGGTTTGGTAGTGACGATCTCCTGAGTCCGTTTGTGCAGAAAGAGATGGCCTCAGGCGAGGAAACAAAAAAACGAATTACGAAACACAAACACGGCTTTTAACAATTTAATTAAAAAAAACGAAGCAAGATGAAGCTCCAATATGGCGATATAATTTGGTGTTTGGATCACTCGTCCAAGGACTAAAGTTTAGCCTAAACTTTAGTCCTGCTAAGCTGTTTGGATTTATGGGCTAAACTTTAGTCCTCTAATCTACAATGACTGATTTGCTCTTATTTAATTATCAATGCACAGGCATACATACGAGCGGTAAGAGATATGGGGTGTTCAGCGTCCGTCCCGAGGAAGTTTAGCCCAGTTTAGGATTTTTTTGGGAGCAAAAGATTTTAGCCCAGTTTTTAGCCATTTATTTATTTTTTTTTTATCCCTGTTTAGATTCCCGTGAAAAAAAAAAGTAAGAGGCTAAAGTTTTGCCGTAGGACAAAAACAGGGCTTGGCTCGCGCAACGCGGTCCCCGCGCTTTTTATCTCAACAACCATTCCCCTTCTTCCTCAACGGACCCCGCGACTTCACTTCCTCTCCCCCGCGCGCGCTCCCCCTCGCCACCGCCAACACCGCGCAACCAACCCCGCCACGCCCGCCGAAAACCCTAAGAACCAGGCACGCCCAGCAACAACCAACAGCAAACACAGTAGCAAGCGCGCCGAGGCACAGAGACAGCGGCCGGGGGTTCAATTCGAATTCGTTCGGCCATGCGGCGGTCAGAGTGGGAGGGCCGGTGCAAGCGGCACCCGGAGCACCGGATGTCCAAGGGCGTCTGCCCGTACTGCCTCCGGGACCGCCTCGCGCACCTCTCCGCGTCCTCCTCGGCGACCACCACCGCGCGCGCCTCCTCCTCCTCGGCGACCACGTCCTTGTACTCCTACGGCGGCTCGTCCCCGCCGCCGCACCACGCCGCGCTCTCCGCGGACGTCAGCTCCGTCCACGTCGTCGGCGCCGGCTCCTCCTTCGTCGACGTCTCCGCCTTCTCCCAGCCGCTCATGCCGACCTCTGCTAATAAGAAGCCGCCGCCAACGACGACGGGGAGGCAAGACGAGGAGGCGGCGCAACCGGTGAGGGGGAAGGGCGAGGTGAAGAGGAAGAAGAGCGGCAAGAACAAGAAGATCGGGAGGTTCCTGTCCAGGCTCGTCGGGGCGGAGAGGCGGCGGCACGGCGCCAGGGACGGCGACGGCGGCGAGCTCTTCCACTCCAAAACCATGAAGGAGAAGACGGCGTCCAAGTGGGCATTCTTCTGAATTCCCTCATCAGATCAGATGCCAACACCATGCACACACGCTCGATCCGTCGTCGGTATATAGTTTTTTCCCCGTTCAAGTACTTCTGTGCTTAAATATGCAGTTTTAGCATGGTTTCTTCTACTGTGTACACGACGAGACTAAGCCAAAACTATTGATCATTTTGTACTATTTGGGATTTTTTTTTGGAAAGGTTATTCGAGAAATCGTGTATGCTTATTTTGTAAAATTAGAAGAAAAAGAAAACAACTACGAAGTGTATATTATGTGGATCTCAATTCTATGTTCCAGTATCCAATAGTGTTTAATTTATATAGTTTGTCCCATGAGAAATTCTTTGGATTGGCGACGAATCCAACCGGTTTTCTTCTCCTCAAACAGTGAATTACTATCTGATAACCTGTTTTCATCCATTTGAATAGTTTACTGTAATTGACCGGCGATATAAGATATACATATGAACATCATCTGTGGAGTAGGCAAAATCGATGAAGCAAATGGACCGGTGACGGGACAGTTGGTCTTGGTCATAGACTCATACCAGAGCCAATTTATTTTCTACTAATTCCTAGCTACAAGTATTTTGTATTGCAGTACTGGTTTCTTTGTTTCAAAATATGTAGATCAACGGTTTATAGTTATTTGGTAATATCATACCAAACCCTCCAAAATAAGTTTGTCTAAGATTGTCTCATCTAGGACTACGATTTAATACTTCATCTTCTTCATTTGTTGTTTTGCTCCTTCTAGCGTCCTGAATCCTCTGCCTGTCTCTTTTGCTTTTTGAGCTCCTTTGCTGGTGTTACATCATTTTGATGTGAAGCTGGCTTGTCCTGATCCGGACTTGTTTGCTGTTGCCCCGACTCCGTCTGCCCATCGTCCTTCGTTGGGCAGGGTAGCTCAACAACGCAGCTGCATCTGTTGTTGCCGGTTGCCGCTGAGGAAACTTGGTCTCCCCTTGGCTGTTCTAGGATCGAGAGCGTTCTTTCCTGTGGCATGCATCGTTGTACGTGGTGTGTACTTTGAGACGAGAGCCTGTACATGGAACGAGAAAAATCGCCACATGCGCGGGCAAATCTCAAAGTTCATTGCACCTCTGCACATCACATCGATTAATTTGTAAAGCGCAGGAGGAGACTCTGAGATGATAAAGGCCTTTAATTTGCCGCCACATTAGTAGCCCACTGCACCTCGATTAGTTTGTAGTTGTCTTTGCTGTGCCTAAGAAGGAATGACGGTTTAGACAATATATTTTACCAAGATGCAGCACTTTTGACCACCGTTTATATATAATGGTGTGCAGGATGAAAACAGGACGGATATTTCCCGCGTATCTGTATCCGAACATTTAATATTTGACCGTATCCGAATATGAATACTCAAAATTGGATTTCTGATATCTATATAAAATAGATATCAATATCCGAATGACTTGTCTCCTATTCTGAGATGCTAGAAAAAATATAGAATATAATACGGGGGTATAGGACATAGGCCATGTTCGCTTGTCTTTATGAGCTGTACTGTTTCAGCAAAGCAACAGTGTTTTTCTATCACAATAAATTAGTAAACAGTACTTTATGGATTTGCATGCATGCGTGAATTTGCAGGTTCTGCTAAACCTGTGGTGTGGAATGCCAGTCTAAACTTGGAGCGAATGATAAGTTTACCTGCAATCCTGCAAGAACTGGTGGCTCCAGCTATATTTTGTACATATAAGCACTACTACTATTTTGGAACAGTTGAGCTTCACGTGTGCTACCAACCTCATAGAACTAGCGGCTTGTTCGGTTGGCTGGTTCGTATCGTTGCTGGTTCGTTTACGTGAGAGAGTGGTACTGCTGGCTGGTTCGCTGCTACAGTAGCCATGGGAGGGGGCTGGCCAGCCAGCCCCAGCCCAGCGAACGAGCGGTAGGATGTCAATGGGCTCCGATATCCGATTCCCACGGTGAATTCTTCTACTAGAGATAGCGACAGGCCAGTTCTTCCACACAGAGATTCAAATGGGTAAAACACATCCCGATGGGGCACGCGGGGAAAGGGATAGTACTTTGTCCCCCATCCCCGATCCCTAGCCCTGGGCATGATTAACCGAACATCAAAGATTGTACCGAACTAACTGAGAACTAAATCAAAGTGACCGAGATCGAAGTTTTCGGTCACTAGTTCGGTCCCGAGTCTATACTACCTAAACTTTTTACGGTTAGTTTGGTTAAATGCCTCGGTAACCAAACTAGCCGAACATTTGGATTTTATTGATACAATGTGTACTTTAGACTATTATTAGTGATGTAATATTATTACATCGAAATAGAAAAAATATTGCTAAAATTTGCTATAAATTATACTATTTATTAGCTATTTTGTCTAATCCGGTTCGGTCATGACCGAGACCGAACCGAACTAATTGAGACCGAACTTGCTTGATTTGAAACTAAACGATCGGTTTTCGTTTTTAGATGACTGAACTTTCAAAATGACGGTTCGGTTCGATCAGACCAAACGCCCAGGCCTACCGATCCCTGCATCCCCACCCAATTTTCCATATACGCACTTATATATCACTAGAATTTGTGATGTAATCTTTGTGTAGTATGTAGTTTGGCGTGTATTTTTTGCTAAAGTATTAGTGATGAACTATATGTATATATTGAAATTCACCGATTATACAATTGTGTTAAAAATCATTACTTACTTTTATGTTAAATATGAATTGCCACATATATTCCAAGATGTATTAATGCGGGATAGGGATGGGACCAAATCTCTTCTATGAGCTTTCGATGGGACGGGAATGGGGATTTTTCCTCCCCATGGGGACGGGGACGAGGAGCCATCCTTCGACGGAGAATTCTCTGTTATCGTCTCTACATGTAGAAACATAAAGGCGACCATCAGATTAAAAGGAGATTGTAACTATCGAGCAATTACTGTTGTTGACACTAAAAAATGTCCCAAGGAATTAGGATTTATGACCCTTAGGGCGTCCACTAACGATCCTAGCTAGCTGGCAGCTATTTTGTGTCCATGATAGCTTGTTACGAGATGGAAAAAATTACCCACCCAACTATCTAAAATACAGTACAAGCCAAGGAACATGGGCCCCAAATGTTGGATTTTTTTTTATCCCTTTCTCACAGAAGAATCATCTTTGTTGCTGAAAAAAGTTCCTGCTCGCAACCTAGTCTCATGTCGTTTCATGTGTTGCAAGCTAGCGACGAAACAGTCACTAGCGAGTTGCTTTTTGGATGCTCTCTTGCTCCAAGTCAGCTAGCCACGCTAGATAACTATCGGAAACGGCTTTAGCGAGTTCCATCAGTATGATATATAGATATATTTTCATTTGTCAGAGTTTTTTTTTCTTCTTTTTTGGCTACAGGGAGTACGTAGCAAACGAGATAAACTACTATGCTACAGTGTTCCGACTAATGTTCATCTAGTAGCTTGTGAAAAAAATAACTAGAGGCACAATTTCTGAAAGTAGTAAAAATTAAAATGTGGGAACGTTAATCTGGTTTAGTTTGACATGTGAACGTAAAGAAAAAGAATGGAAAACTCGAATGCACAATACAGAGAACATTTCTTTTGGCAGCTGCTAAACCAATTATTTCCACTGAAACGAGGGTGCATCACAGCGCAGCTTCAGGTTCGGATGCGAAACTCTGGTTGTTGCATCACTTGTCCATCCATATGGTGCACCTGACACTCTTCCCTTGGAGCAGCAGGTCAAAAGCTTCGTTGATGTCCTTGAGGCCGACTTCATGGGTTATGAACTTGTCAAGCTCCAACTCCTAGACAGAGGTAAATCCAAGAAGATTATTGCTGCAACAAAATGCCAGAAAAAATGCATACAATACAAAGCCAAGACTGGAGTTAATGGTGACACTATGCTCGGTATGTCTGAAGCTAGCTGTACCTTGTTCAGGTACTTATCGGCGAGAATGGGAATGTCCTGCTTAGGCTTCACCCCTCCATACATGGACCCGATGACAGACTTCCCGTGGAGGATCTCATGAGAAGAGACGCAGAGAGGGGCACCGTGCATTTCCACTCCAAGAATGATCGTCTTGCCCCACCCCTGCATGAAAGAAATAGAAACACCGTGCATTCAGAACTCAAGATCGTTTCTCAAATAGCGGCGTGGCGCCATGAGTGTGCATACGTCACGGGAGCTCCGAAATGCGTCGTTCATCAGCGCCGCCAGTCCAATGCACTCGAAGCAGTAATCCGCGCCACCGTCGGTCATCTCAACGATCGCCTGTTGACAATCAAAACAGGGACACTTCTCAATGTGATGTTTCAGCATAAAGGTTGAGAGAAAAAAAATTGTGATTAAAAGATGGGCACTCGGGGGAAGATCACTCCTAGGTATCAACCGCTACTAAAAAAATGAGATCCAAATGGCAAGAACACGAGTGATTACCTGGTAGACAGGTTTCTCGCCAAGTTCTTTTGGATTGATGAAATGTGTCATGCCGAACTTCTTTCCTGCAGGAAGAAACAGCGGACGAAGTGCGTCAGGACTTTGCACTTCAGAATGCCTTGAAGTTCAGAACAGTTTCAATCAAGGTAGAAATAAGAGTAAGGGCTTGCCAAGTTCATATTTCTCAGGGTTTATATCCACGCCGATTATCTTTGACGCCCCACAAATCCTGGCTCCTTCAGCCACCTGCATGTCAAAATTTCAAATATTAATATTCAGCACTGTAGTGCCCAGAAAACTAAATTAACTTTGTAGAAGACGAAAGCTACACTTAGGGAGTGAAGAAACTCTTTTTTTTTGCTATGTATACAAACAAAGTATTCTGTCATCAAGGATTCAAGGAGGATATATATACTACGAGTTCTGCTCAACTAAAATACTTCTCTTTTTGAAACGACAGCTGAATACTAGACAGAGGTTAAATCTCAGTAAAGTGTTGTTGTCAAACTCAGAATTTCTGAGAAGTGTACATATTGGTGGTAATAAATGAAGAAAAACGTGGTGCTCTGAATGTGTCACTTAACCGCCAATCCTACAGCGCCGAGGCCAAAGATAGCGACCGAAGATCCAGGCTCAACTTTCGCCTGCTTCCATGCGGCTCCGACCCCTGCGATTTTCTTGGGTCAGAGGTATAAAATCACCAACGATTCCCCACAGCAACAAGGAAACGTGTCATCTCTGCGGCACCAACCAGTGGAGACGCCGCAGCTGAGCAGGCAGGCGAGTGCCGGCGGCATGGCGGGGTTGACCTTGACGACGTGGTTCACGTCCACCACGGTGTACTCGGTGAAGCTGGACACGCCCAGGAAGTGGTGGAGCGGGCGCCCCTGGCCGTCGCTGAACCGGGTGGTGCCGTCGCGCGGCATCCCCGGGCGCACCGCGAACCGGTACTTGGAGCACATGTTGCTCCGCGCCGACCTGCAGTCCACGCACTCGCTGCACTGCCCCAGGAACGTCGGCACCACCGCGTCTCCCGCGGCGAACTCCTCCACGTGCTCGCCGACGCTCTCCACAACCCTGCACAGGAGGCATGCCCCGTGAGCTCGTCTCAGCTTGTGATCAGGTTTCGATTAGCAGGCTCCAGATGAGACGTGTATATAGTATCCAAATATAGCCGCTAGTCCTTTAGCTCTGTCAGGAACGCATCAATTCCTTTACTGCCATGGATTTCTGAAGTTCCAAATAAATTTGGTGGGGGCATGCCAATTGCTTTGAACGTATTGTGGGTTGAAGTTCCTAACATATTTGAGGGGTATTTTATTTTTATTTTTTTTATAATGCAGAGGAGGTTGACTCGGATAAAGAATAAAGGATTATTTTAAATTATTCTTTATATTGGCATATGTGGGTTATTGAAAAGCAAATTTTGGTTTACTTTGCGTTATCTTTGAGAATGGTATTTGGTAGATGTGGAAATTTTATAAGCAAATTCTAGGGTTACTTTAAATTATCTTTTATGATGGTAGAGGTGGACAATTAAGATGTAGATTTAGAAGGTTATTTTATGTATTTTCGTAGCGATAGGCCGACAGATGTGGATTATTTAGCAATTTTGAAGGTTACTTTATGCATTTTATAATGGCAGAGGTATGTAATTTTGTAGAAAACAGAATATACATTATGATTAGAATATACTAAATTAAATCCTAGATATTTATTATTTTTATTAGAATTTTCCGAATTTATAGTTGTTCATATAGTGTATTTCATGAGTAATATGATACTCTATTAGACATTTCTAATTAATAATATTAAGATTTTTTTGCAATTAAGAACCACTAATGTAACTAGAAAAAGTCAACTTGTATGGCAACAACCCATCTCTCGCCGGGACATCGATTAGCTAAAGCTAAGTCAACTGTCGAATCTCTGAAGACTTCAAACTAGAATTAGTACATTGGCCGCCTAATCTTTCATTCAAAATTGAGATATCGACACGAATCAGCAGGGGCAAGACGATGTCAGCTTCAATACCATTAGTGTTTACATTAGTTGGAATGTAGTGTATTCTTTTCTGTAGCTGCTAACCAAACAACATTTGCTACTTATTCCATTTTTTGCAGATAATATAAAATACCCTACTGATTAGAATCAAGAAAAAATATCAGCTTGTATATATAAAACTTGACTTATTTAGGTTTTAGTTGTGCAGTCGATTCTGAGTTAACTTCAATGAAAGTATCTCACTAGTCGCTACAGCACACAACGTCACCGTGCAACTTGTTATTCGTCAGAATTCGCTGAAGCGGAGCGGTAATAACACAAATGTCATTTACTGGCTATCCTTAGTTTATCAGAACCTTTTGACAATCGCATTATGTCCACTTTCTACGGTGAATTGATGAGCAGCAGTATACATCAAAGTTCAATTTCCATGCTATCTTTTCTTTTATGAAGCGTCAGCTACAAAGACAACCACGAAAGACGAGACACATGTAGCATGTCAACGTCAAACATCACTCTAGCTTTCAAGTTTTGCTAAAATTGACAGCCTCAATGGGAAACGCAAAGACACGGCATATTTTGTCAACGAATGCTGTTGAAATTGAGTGAACAATAGGAAAAAAATGTGCAGGAAAGAACTGTGTAGCGAGCACTCACCCGAAGGCTTCGTGGCCAAAGATTCTGGGGAAAATGCCAGGGAAATCCTGCAAAGTTCACACAGACGAAGTATAAGACACTTGAGGCGGTGTACGCCACGGCGACGAGGGCCACGACAAGAGGTCGAAGGCCGGAGATTGCAGGAACGGACAAAGAGAGCCAAACCTTCATGCGCCAGAACGTGACGTCGCTGTGGCAGAGCGACGTGCAGATGATCCTGATCCTGACCTCGTGCGCCTTGGGCGGGTCCACGACGATCTCCTCGATGGCCAGCGGCTCGCCGGCGGCCCTGCACACGGCCGCTGCGCGTCGCCGGAAAGGGAAGCCGGTTAGCTAGGACTAATATGGCCGATGGGACGGGAGAAAGACGAGTTAGGCAGCGAAATCGAAACTATGCGGCAGAGCTCAAGAATCCAGCTGCATACCTTTGCATCGGATGGGTTTGGGGCCATGGTTCTCCATCGAGGACTCGCCGGTGGTGCCCACTGCCCAGTAAGATGCGTTCGAAGGGTCAAGGACTCGAGCGCACGGTGGCTGCGACTACGAGAGCCCAGAGCAGGTGTCGATATATAATGGCCAGAGCTTTGTCCTCTACAGTTTAGACGTCTAATCTCCTGTTTCTTTTATCTTTTTTTTCTTCCTTGACAGCGTTGTTGTCCGCTCCGCGATTTGGCGTCGTGGGGAAGATGCTCTCGCCTTGCCGTCGCTGACTCTCTGAAACTTTACTTTTTAGAATTTTATTTATAGTCAGTTCTTGTCCATCTCATCTACTGCAAAGTACCTTCAACCTAAAAAGGATGGAACTCAAATTCTGCCTTTATTCATACTATCTATGCTTTAAAAAAATTCATATAAAAAATAGTATCACTTATGACACTATAAGTGCATACCATAAATATATAATGACACATATTTGGCATCATAAATATTGATATCTTTTTTATGAATTTAGTCAAATATAGAAGAGTTTGGCTCAATACTATACTAAAATTATATTCTTTTCGGGCATGAGATTATCTATATATTTATCTTATACAATAGTGTCACAATAAACTAATCCCTCCGTTCTAAATTATAAGTCCGTTTCACTTTTTTTAGTACATCCATTTTGCTATGTATCTGGATATAATGTATGTCTAGATATATAGCAAATTCTATATACCAAGAAAGTCAAAGCGACTTTTAATTTGGAACGGAAGAAGTACTATATATATTGCTCGAGAGAGTCTAGGAATTAAGAAGTCCATCTCACAAAGATTGATACTTTACATTAAAAAAAATGCCCCGCAAAGAATGCCACTCTACCTTGTGGACCATATAAAGAGGAGCATGTCCTAAATTAAATCCTACATGCTCCTTGCAATTGTATGGCACCAACCACATGTCACCTAAATGGATGCAGTAATTAATCTAGCCGTGGCCGCTCACGAGTTAGACAGACTCCAACAGACGCCGGAGATCGCCAAGGTCAGAGCGTTGCATAAAGCAGCTAAGGTGCAAGTCAACCAGCTCCGCGATGACTCGGAGCCCTCCCACTCCACCGCATCGAACTGCCACCGCTCCGCGGTCCGACAGCCTTCCCGGTCTCGCCAAGCGGGGGGAAGTCATTTCTCCCTCGCACACCACCAGGGAGACGGTCATTACCTCATGATCGGTTCAAGAGGCAACTACCCCGTCAATCCTGGCCAGCAAGAAGCCGGGAATCATCCTCCCCAACCAGCCCGAGCCAATCCTGGCAACGCCAACAAAAGAAGTCGATCAGCCTGTAGGCGATGTTCGCAACATCCTCAATGCTCGCCACGACGTTCGTAACCGCATTGAGATACAACGCAACGAGCGCCACGAATAGGAGGCTATTCGCCGACAGCAGTACGACAACGAATTTGGTAATCCCGATGCTGCTCTCCTGCTAGTTGCTGCTGCTAATCCCGCAACGCTCCCTTGCCCGCTGCCGGTGATCCCGAGGGACCTCGCCCCTTCACAGTGAGGCTACGAGCCGTCCAGTGGCCAGCAGGCTTCAAGATCTCTGGGTTGAACTCTATGATGGCAAGGTTAACCCCGAGCAGTGGTTGTAGCTTTGTGCCATTGCCGTGCGTGCTGCTGGGGAAATAGCGACGTCATGGCAAATTATTTGCCCGTTATGCTCGCCCCCTCTGCAATGAATTGGCTCACGAGTCTGGGGCCGAACACCGTTGGATCTTGGGATGATCTCAAGAAGATGTTCATCGAGAACTACATGGCCACGTGTGTCTAACAGGGTACGAGGCATGACCTAGAGAGGCTCCATCATAGGACTGGCGAATCTCTACGCAGCTACATCAGGTGTTTCTCGGAAACGAGGAACTCCATCCCCAACATCAGCGAAAGCGATGTCATCTCTACGTTCATCCGCGGACTCCACCACCTTCTCGAGCTACGCTCCAAGTTCCACGGGAAGCCGCTATGGATGATCGGTGAGATGTTGCAGACGGCCAACCAATACGCCAACGTTGAAGAGGTCGACCAGTGACATAAGGACGGCGTCGCTCGGACCTCTCGCTTCGAACGCTAGCCGTGTCGCAATGATGATCGCCGTGAAGAACGGCGCCATGACGACCGTGACCGCCGCCATGACGACAGGCCAGAAAGCTCGAGGGCCAAGCAATTTCATCGCTACCAACCAGATAAAATCATCGCTTCGGTTGACCAACCACGCACTAAGCGTAGCTATGATGACGAGTATGAGAAGCTCCTCAACGGTCCATGTCTTATACATAAAAACGGCAGCCATACTATGCGACAGTGCTACGGCTTAGGCAAGGCCTACCGCGACGAGGAGAATAAGAGGAGCAAGAATTGCGACGGTGTGTACACTTCACCTCGCGATGAGTGTACTATTTTCCCTTCCTCAAGGTTTTCAGCTAAGCTGGGGACTAGCTTTGTGCTCGGCTAGCATTTAAAGTCTTTTATTTTTTTGATCCTGGCACTAGGTGACTCATTCACCTACTATCACGCTCGGGGACTAAGTGTGTACACTTCACCTTGCGGTGCGTGTATTACTTGGTAATTACCTAAGCCCTCTTATTGACTAAGTCATAGATGATAATCATCTGACACCGCGTTTCTCCGATAACTAAGTCATAGATGATAATCATCTGGCATCGCAAACGGCACCTAAATGTGTACACAAATCTAATTTTGAGCTCCTTACATCCTTCTGACAATCCTTACTTGAGTAAGTCCGATGCCAGTCGACCAGTTAAACTGGTCGGCCACCAGTTAAACTGGTCAGCTTCAAGCTAAACTGCTCGGACATGATCAAGACGGTGTTGCTCAGCAGATACAAGGCGCTCGAGGACTAGCTGTGGGGGTATAACCCCAGATACCCACAGTAAGGGACATGGGCCACACCATTAGGGATGGTCCAGCCCACGAGATCAAGACGCGCGGTGCAAGGCATTGGTCAGCGTACACCGCAAGGCATCGAGAGGAATCTTGAAGATAGAGATAGATCTGATTGGATATGCTAGATATCGTATTCCTTATAATGATTATCATGTAACCGACTAGATTTAGATCTAACCAATTTGTAACCATATCCCCCCAACTATATAAGACGGGTAGGGAACCCCCTCAAACGCATCTCATCATTCCATCTCATATACAATCCAGCAGAAGACAGGATGTAAGGTGTTACGTCGTATTGACGGCCTGAACCTGTCTAAATCATGAGTCTATGTTTCCATCTAGTTCCTGATCATGCGCACATCTACTACACAATCTATCATCATGGGTATACCCCTCGGTGGACTATCAACGATATTACGTCGACACACATAACCTTGAATTGCGTGTAAGAGCTTAGCGTTTGATCAACAGCTAGCTTTTCTATGTCTTCTATTAAAATATAAGAAAAATGCTTAGAGCTAGCTTAAGAGTCAATTGTTGGAGCTGCCCTAAATAAACATAATAAGGGCTCTACTGGAAATAGGCTTTATGCTGAGTTGGATGAGAAAGATGAGAGAGAAAAGAAATGGAATTCATAGCCGGTTGATGTACAAGCTCTAAAAATATCGTGAGAGAAAAAAGTATGGCATATATTAATGATGAAGTATGATCTAGTAGCTAACTACTATATGGGTTGGCTCCCATATTGGCAAGTTGTTGGTGCCTTCCATGATCTAACTCTTTCAGAAGCCAGTAGAGCTCTCTCCAACCTCCATTTTGTGGGGGTTTTTGTTTTGTTTGAGTGAGATCCTATGGATTGGGTTAAGAGATTTGGTGTGTGAAAGCACTTCTATACAATCCTAAGCCTTGAGCACTTGGTGGTTATGTCTAACAATTGATGGAGCATTTTTGTTACTGTTGCAGATGATGCTTCCTAGACAACTAGAAGATACCTCGTGCGTTGCTGCTGGAGTTTCAGTAGCACACATGGAGTTATCTCATTTTTCTTTTGGTGTAACCAATAGTGAAAACATGATAGGGAAAAACTTTTGTTTTGTAGAATCCTCTAGCCTTGTGACTACATTTATATATTGTGGATCTCTCTAGGAAACTAGTTAAAGAAATATCATTTGTCTACTAAGCTTGTTCACACAGTACATTTGTAAAGTATGACAGGTTAAATATTAGAGAAACAACGGTATTAACGAACACTTAATTGCATATGGGCAGGAACACTTTGTTGCAACATGCATTTGGGCTCTTCGTTCGCTAGTGTTGCAACTTGCAAGAGGTGCAGAGAAACAACAGAGGATAAGGAACAACCAAGATCAAGATGGTTGCTTAAAATCAAACAGTTCTGGTAACAATGATGACGTGGCACACCGTGGTATGAGATAGACTTTGTAGTGAAGTTTTGCTTTATAAGAGATGCTTATAATGGTTGCAACTTTGCCTCTGGAAGGAAAAAAAATCAAGCTAGTAAAACGAGGAAAGTGGTTAAAAGAGACCTATACTTAGCTTAACTCTAGGGTTGCTTTGAGTTTTCTCAACGGAGATAGGGTGAGCCTAGGCTTCGAGAAACAAATTCTTGCATCTCCATTTTGTTCTGTGTTTTGTTTACATTTGTATCTCGTATTTGTGCTTTTGTTTTGATCTACTTGGGTGTACATGTTTGTAAGTATAAGGGCTACATGCCCATGTTGGCAAATAAACATCTACTCGCTCCATACTAAAATAGTTGACGCTTAAGGTTTGGACACGAAGATTTAGGAGAAGTGAAAAGGGTGTGGATGTGTGGTACACAGAAAATAAGGAGAGAGATAGAGATGTATTGAAAAATGTTTATTGGGAGAAGAGAAATGTAAGTTAAGAAATAAGAATGACAATTAATCCTATAGCGTCACCTATTTTTGGGCAGAGGAAGCACATAAGAACTTCTCCATGTTTGATTTTGGTTGGAGTAGATAGGGGTCATTTACATTATTTATTTGTTGTTTTGCTGTTAAAATCAGCCAAGCCAGTTTTTACTAACTCTTTTTTTAAATTGTAGAAATAACCTATTAACTAAGCTAACCGAACTATCACCGTTTCTCAGTCTCGGCTTAACGTAATTGACCGAGTAGGCTATGAAAGCACACGTAACACTATCCATGTATTCCAACAGTATCCATTTGACTCCAAGGTAGGCACCATTAGATATATCTTGAGTTTATATATAGATAAACAAATATTAGTCGCTTATCGGCGCCCAACCAAGCTCGATCATACCTTAAATGGGCTGCTCTTTTTAGTTGCGAAGCCAGCAGGCCTGCATTAGGATTCGCGTGGGCCGGAAAATCAAGGAGCTTCACTCACGAGCTCTCTCTCTCTCTCTCTCTCACGCGGTTATGCCAGCTGAAGGTCGGCTTGGGAGTTGGGAGCTTGGGTTTTTTTTTTCGGGATTTCTAAATAACTCTCGGATGATATCGTGTCATGTTTTCATTCACTGTTGTGTGGTTGAGATTGTTTGTAGATTCGTGCCGTTTTTTGCGTGTTGTTTAATTGGCAGACACATGACGAGCTCATTTTTGTGTAACACATGGGCCCAATTGAGTCCGTCACATGTTGTGAGCTATCGACCAGGTGTTATTTCAGTGCCGTTTAATCTTCTTGACGATTTAATATGTTTTTCATTTTACTGCTTGATTCAGACACGCCTCGGTGCTCGTCGGAGGAGAGAGATGGTCCACTTGGTGCTCGCCGGAGGCGGAGCCGCGGAGGTGTCGGCGCCAGGCGTCGCCGTCGCCATCCGGGAAAGACTGTGTTTCACTCATCGTCTTCGTCGCTTACTGAACCTGAGGGGCGTGCTATCATCCGTATCTCCCAGGTGATTTTAGATTTCATTCGTTTTGCTTTGTCAACAAATTTTGTGTGCGTGGACGTCCGGGGGCAAAGGGTGTATCAAGGGAAGGTGGATGAGTTGGACTAGGTGGCCAGCAAGTTGTGGGCGTGAGGAGAGGAGGAGCGTGTCAGTGTTGATGCCTGCTACCTGAATGAAGTTGGAGCGCAGCTGTTTGAGAGGTTCAGGGAGCAGTGCTCTGATCTCCTGCGAGCTGCGACTTGATTTTTTTTTTGTTTATTGCGTGCAGTAGCTTAAGCTCTGAAGGACTGAAGGCATCACCCTGTGATTATTGATTCGTTGTGCTCCCACACATTCAGGAATTAAACAACTGCAGTTAAATTGATGTGCTGCACAAAAGGTGATTCTGATAAAGTATTAGTGAGCAGTGATTGGAATCATGCTAAGTGGTCTAAGTCGACTTGCACACTGCCTATATAAAGATTACATGTCTGCACTGTAATTATTAGGTAAGTTCATTAATTTGAGTTTATTTCCTTTCAGTATTTTCATTAGTTTTAGTTTTTCAGTATATATTGTTATTCTTTATATTGAGCAATATCCTGTTATTCAATTTGTTCTTTTTAATTTATTTTAGTTTAAGTCATTTCAATATTTCAGCACACATTGTTAAATTGTTTTAGTTGTGTAGCTTTTGCAAGTTGTAATTGTATGATGTGTCATTTTCCAGTTTCATTTATCTGATTTTTAGAAACTCTTTTTCAGTTTTAGTGTTTCCGTTAGTTTCAGTTGATTGAGTTCATTAGAAACTCTGTTTCTGTTTTAAGGTTTCCTTTAGTTTCAGTTGATTGAGTTCATTAGAAACTCTGTTTCGGGTTCTAAGGTCTCCATTTCCATTCCCCTCTTCAGTTTTTTCCCTTGTAGTTGGTCTCATTTCCTGCTTCTGCAATGTCTGTTGTTATTTGTGTAATAATGCAATCTCCAATGTTTTCAGTTGGCCCATTCTCTTCAAATCTGCTTGTTGTGAACATTGATGTCTGCAATTCAAAGGATCATTAAATTGGCTAGTATTTTTTTCAGGGTTCTAATTTTTGGTTATCAACACAGTAGTTGTTGATATCACCTCAAAGTTTGAAGCATCTCGCAGGACTAAAACAGTGAAGGTAAAATTTTTTTATTGCCTCAGCTGTAGCTACACTCAGATCTGAAGACCACGTCCTTATTGAGCGACGGACACTTGATCCCATCGTGGCGTGAGAATTATTTGCTTGCACGGTTCGAACCCCGGCCGGCCAGCTCCCACCACCGGAGCTTAGCCACTGCGCTACACGCGCGTCCGCAATCAGTGAAGGTAATTGTACCTCCTCGTAGCTGTAGCTACATGCACATGAGCAGGAGGTTGCCAATTGGACAAGATCTGGGTGATCTTTGTTGGAATTTCTACAACTTTCTCTTGTTTTATGACACTGTAAATTCTGGGTGAATTCTTTTCCCTTTATCTACCAGATTCTGATCCGGTTTCAGAACCTACGTGTCATGAAATGATTGGACACAAAACTGATTGATAAATTGAAAGAAAATCAACGGAACTTTTTTTTAGTATAGTTCTGAACGTTTCTGTTCATACTTCATACGATGTTCGAATGAGCGATATAGCAGCTGTTCTACATATTGATGTCGATACATGAGTGACAAATACGTTGTAATTAATCAATTCAGACAACGAAACGAAACTCATCATACATCGGCTTTCAGGAACAGATAGTCCTCCTGGTCGCTGCTAACACCAGTTTTCAGTGACGCATCGCATCGCCAAGCTGAAACACAGCAAATTTATTCAGAGCCACAGGTTTGGTCAGGCGCGCCGCCCCGGCCTGTTGCCCATCACTTGTCCTTGTCCATCCAGATGATGCAGCGCAGGCATTTCCCCTGCAGGAGCAGGTCGAAGGCCGTGTTGATCTCCTGCAGTCCTAGCTCATGCGTGACCAGCGCGTCCAGCTGCAGCTCCTTGTCCATGCATTTCTTGGCGAGGATGGGGATGTCGGTCTTGGGCTTGATCCCGCCGAAGAGCGACCCCATGACGCACCTGCCGAACAGCAGCTCCAGCGACGGCAGGCACACCTCATCGCTGTCCCTTCCTAGCCCCAGCATGATCGTCTTGCCCTTTCCCTGCGAACACCAATTTTTTTTGCAACCGTTAGTAACTCCTTGCACGAAGTTACATTGGCCTCGTTTCACAGGTTGACAACGAAACGAACCATCTTGGTGCATCTGAAGGCGTCGGTCATCACCGACGGCACGCCGATGCACTCGAAGCTGTAGTCGACGCCGCCGCCGGTCATCTCAACGATCACCTGCAGTGAAGTTGAACGAACACAGAACGTGCATTTCAAGGTGATGGACAACTCGCTGCCTTGAGATAAGACTGTGACAACTTTGGCTTTATATATCCTTACCTCTATGACGGAACGGTTGCCCAGTTGCGATGGATTGACGAAGTCTGTCACGCCAAACGATCTCCCTGCGATAAGAGTCAAGAGTGGAGTGGACAATTTTACTTCTCTCCATTCAGTTTTGAGATACAGAACAAGCTAGCAGCTGGCACTCGATAATGCATGGTGCCCTGCTCTGCTCTGTCAATCTGTCACGAAATGGGAAAGGATATCGATAGACTTGCCTACTTCCTCCTTGTCAGGGTTGAGATCAACACCGATAATCTTGGACGCTCCACACATTTTCGCGCCTTGGACCACCTGCCAACAACCAAAGTGTGACCACCAAAAGTTACAGTTACAGCGCGTGCTGCCGATCTACTATCAGCCAGTGGCCATGTACACACTTAGCTTGTAAAGTGTATACATGCATATGATTAATAGAATAAACAAGATACGGGCAGGACAGGGGCTTACCGCCAAACCGACAGATCCAAGGCCAAAGACAGCAACAGCCGAGCCCGGCTCCACCTTGGCCGACCTCCACGCTGCTCCTACCCCTGAGAAATATTGAACGTTCTTTCTCTCACTCAGCATAGTAGATCGAGCGCCAGCGCTAGTGGTACGTACTAGCTACGACAAGGACAGCGCTAGCTAGCTCACCGGTGCCGGCGCCGCAGCTGAGGAGGCAGGCGAGCTTGGGCGGCACGGCGGGGTCGAGCTTGACGACCTGGTTGACGTCCACGACGGTGTACTCGCTGAAGCTGGACACGGCGAGAAGGTCGTGCAGCGGGTTCCCCTGAGCGTCCCAGAACCGGGTGGTGCCGTCGCGCCGCATCCCGGGCCCGATGATGAACGGCACCGAGTCGCACACGTTGCTGTGCTCCGACGTGCAGCTGCCGCAGTGGTCGCACTGCCCCAGGAACGTCGGCACCACGGTGTCGCCCGCCGCGAAGCCCTCCACGTTCTCCCCGACGCTCTCCACTACCCTGCATGCGAATAAGCGATGCACACGCAACACCGGGCCGACCCGGCCCGGATGGATGACAATAAAAAAAAACATGAGAATCTATCGCTGAAAAAATTGTCAGAACAAACAAGGATCGCATGATTCCGCTGGACAAGGAAAACATGGGCATACCCGTACGCCTCGTGCCCTAATATTCTTGGAAATACCGGTGCCACCTAAAGCGAAAGGAATAGAAAAAACTTGAATTGATTAGTGTTTGCAGCTATTGAGCTTCCATTCATCCATTGAATCTCCCGGGTTTGGTACAGAGAGCAGGAGTAGGAACGAAGCTGGGCACTACTTGACTTACCTTAGCTTTCCAGAAGGTGACATCTGTGTGGCAGAGTGAGGAGCAGATGACCCTGATGCGGATCTCGTACGCTTTCGGCGGATCCACGACGATGTCCTCGATGGTGAGCGGCTCGCCGGCGGCTCTGCATACCGCCGCTGCGTGTTTCGGTGCACGCGCCCGTGAGGCCGTGACATCAAATGGTTAGAGCTTATAACAGCAACTGAGCAACATCGCATTCACATCTATGGCGAGTAGAAAAGAAAGGTTGCAGTAGTACCTTTGCAATGGATGGGCTTGGGGCTCCGCTCCTCCACCATGGCGAATTGGGAGGGTGGCGGCTGAAGAGATCGATCTCGAAGACTCGAACGCAGCGGAGGGCCAGAGGCACAGCTCAAGTGCCGGAGTCACGAGTGGCCGGTACTGACTACTGAGGAGAGCGCGGCCTAGTGCCATATATAATAGTGTGACGGGCTGACGGTTGCTACTTTTCTTTTTCAAAAACCAAAAGATAAAAAACAAAAAACGGCTGCTAATTTGCCTTTGAACGGCCTCTTTGGAGCCTGGCAATAATAGGAATCTTCATCGTCCCTGCCAGTGAAGGGTTGACGTCTGCATTAGTTGCATGATTGAGAAACTTCGTCTGTATAGTTCTGATCTATGCGATGGCTGTGTACAAGCAGCATTATCACATATCAGACAGCTGGAGTTCATGCATGCATGTGCGTGTCAGAGTGGCTGCTTCGGATGATTAATTAGCAAGCCCACCTCATCATGCCTGCTCACGTAATAACTGTTACGGCTGCTATGGCAGAGCTTTAATTAAGAGGTTCTAATTAAGCCAACAAACGGGATGATGCAAACTGCTCGACAGCAACGACATCATATATATCTTGGTTTTCCTTTTCCTTTTCTTTCTCTCAAATTAACAGAAAAGATGCACATCTTAATATTTAATATTATTATTATAGATGTAGTAATCTAGTGGACTTACAAGTTACAACATGCTGTGGCAACCTGCGAGCACCACACAACCAAAGTCTTTTTGTGACTGTGGTTGATTTATAGACTAATTAAGGGTACAACCAAGATGTTCAAAACTAGTCCCTACTCCGTATAGTAACTGTTACCCCGATCGGTTGCTTGCGCTTGTCAGTGAGCAGTGACAAGGTGTAGTGATGTGTGGACCGCCAGCATGTGTAAAACGCTTGTGCCGGCAGTTTGGGCTCAACTCGGCTGCCGAAAGCCGTTATCGGCTGGTAGCCTTTGGAAAAAGTCTATTTCACACCTTTGAATTATTGGATGAGCCTGATTTTTCTCCTCAAACTGTGGTATCATATATTGATTCTCCCTGAATTAATGAATTATCATAATCACCGCTTTGGATGCTTTTAACAGCAGTTTTAATGCACCACGTAAGTGATAAGACGTCGCCAGGGTTTTCAATTTTGGTATCAAACATAATTTAGCTACCCCCAAAATTACCGAAATTTGGCTGAAAATTTCGCTGAATTTTTTTTAAAAAAACTTGCGCATGAAGTATGTTTTTTCTAAAAAAAAAGATATAAACAAATATTAGCATGATTATGACTACACATTTATTGACTAGAAGAATATGCAACATAAACAATAGAAAATATGAGTCTAGAGTTATATAGCACATGTATTAGTGTATTAAAATATTTTAGAATTTTCTTTCAGCCACCACCGAAATTCATGAAATTTCAGCGAAATTTTGACACCTGTTCATTGCAACCATAAGTAACCAGTGATTGCAAACTGAATCGAAATGATAGAGATAAAAAAGAAAGTGACCAAAATCAAAAACATCGACCTTATGTTCTAAGTAACTGAACTAAGTATAATTAATTCGGTATGTGCATTCGGATAACCGAAGAAAACGAAAAGGGTCAAAATAGTGCAACCTTTGCTCAAGGCTGTGTGCTTTTCTTCTTCGACGATGGCTCCATGCCTCCATCACTATTCGCTCTCATGCACGCATAAGGCAGTGGGGTGGTTGTTCCGGAAAAAAAAATCGCTGAGGATCAGGCTGCCAATAATGCTTGATCTCTCTCCTATTTCGTAAGGAAAAAAGCACAATCGTGAGTAAGGGAGGACGGCAGCAGGTTGATTGGCTTAGCCGCTTTAAGAGGCCTGGGCTGCTGCTTGCTCAGAGCTGGGACGCAGTCGGCTGTCGTCGCGACGATGGGCGATGGCCGCGCAGCCCGCGCACACCACCGCTGCCGTCGCAGCGTCGGTGCGTCGCCTGACACACGCGCACGGAAGCCAAAGCGACGGAGGATAGAGAAGGGTGCGGCGGCGACGCCGTGATCCAGTGATTCGCGAAGGCCGAGCGGATTATAGAGGCATGGACGTCCGAAGCTCCGAATCCCATGGCCTTGGATAGGGCTGGAAATTAGGCGGATTAGATAAGGCAAGACGCTCAAGTTAAACAGTAATATCGAGGATGTGTACATGTAGAACGGTGACACCAGGCCATACCAGATAGGCACCATGCAACCTCCCAAGCGTGTCAGAACCCGAACAGTGTTGTGGGAACCGTTGTTTGCCGTACCCTGCGCACGTATAGGATAGTGCTATCAGGGCATGCCAGGCGAACACGGTAGAGCCTGCCAGACGCGTCTGGGCATAAACAGTATTGTGGGCGTCGACAATCGTCTCGTACCGGATGGCATGGATAACAAGACTAGGTAGCACACGTACGCACTCTCTCTCTTTCTCTTTGACTTATAAGGCCACCCCCTTCATCCATAAAGGGGATGCGCTCTCTCCTAACGAGGAGACTCTCTCTTTTAGTTCTAGAGAACCTGAGCATTCGAACAGCTCCACGGCTCTAGTACTCAACAGCTACACAGAGTTTACGCTCCAATACTTAGCGCACGTTAGAGCACTTGTCACTCTTAGCCACTTGGCTTAGAGTCTGATCGGGCCTTTAACACCCCCATTCTTATTCCATACTTGTTTGGAACCCCACAAAGAAACTCCGAGCACTGGACTCGTGAATAAAGTCACCGAATCAAATCCGAAATCGGGCGTGGGGCAAGTTGCTCGAACCAAGATATAAATCTGTGTCATTGAGTGTTAGGCCACATCCGATCACAACGCACGGTAAAACTACAAATATTTACTTGTTGGTCACTTTTCGCACCGACAAAAAGAGATTCTAATTAAGCCAACAAACGGGATGACGTAAACTGCTTGACAGCAACGACATCATATATATCGTGGTTTTCCTTTTCCTTTTCTTTCTCTCAAATTAAAAGAAAAGATGCACATCTTAATATTTAAGGCCTCGTTCGGCTGGTCTGAAATTTGGCTTGTTCGGCTTTTTTTTTCAGCCAGAACAGTATTTTCTCTCATAACATTTCAGCCAGAACAGTGTTTTCAGCCAGTTTCAGCCAAGTTTCAGACCAGCGATTGAGGCCTAATACTATTATTATAGATATAGTAATCTAGTGGACTTACAAGTTACAACATGCTGCGGCAATCTGCGAGCACCACACAACCAAAGTTTTTTTGTGACTGTGATTGATTTATAGACTAATTAAGGGTACAACCAAGATGTTCAAAACTAGCCCCTACTCCGTATAGTAACTGTTACCCCGATCGGTTTGCTTGCGCTTGTCAGTGAGCAGTGACAAGGTGTAGTGATGTGTGGACCGCCAGCATGTGTAAAACGCTTGTGCCGGCAGTTTGGGCTCGACTCGGCTGCCGAAAGCCGTTATTGGCTGGTAGCCTTTGGAAAAAGTCTATTTCACACCTTTGAATTATTGGATGAGGCTGATTTTTCTCCTCAAACTGTGGTATCATATATTGATTCTCCTTGAATTAATGAATTATCATAATCGCCGTTTTGGATGCTTTTAACAGCAATTTTAATGCACCACGTAAGTGATAAGACGTCGCTAGGGTTTTCAATTTTGGTATCAAACATAATTCAGCTACCCCAAAATTAACGAAATTTGGCTGAAAATTCCGCTGAATTTTTAAAAATAAACTTGCGCATGAAGTATGTTTTTTTTCTAAAAAATAGATCTAAACAAATATTAGCATGATTATGACTACACATTTATCGACTAGAAGAATATGCAACATAAACAATAGAAAATATGAGTCTAGAGTTATATAGCACATGTATTAGTGTATTAAAATATTTTGGAATTTTCTTTCAGCCACCACCGAAATTCATGAAATTTCAGCGAAATTTTGACACCTGGTCGTCGCAGCCATAAGTAACCAATGATTGGAAACTGAATCGAATTGATAGAGATAAAAAAGAAAGTGACCAAAATCAAAAACATCGACCTTATGTTCTAAGTAACTGAACTAAGTATAATTAATTCGGTATGTGCATTCGGATAACCGAAGAAAACGAAAAGGGTCAAAATAGTGCAACCTTTGCTCAAGGCTGTGTGCTTTTCTTCTTCGACGATGGCTCCATGCCTCCATCACTATTCGCTCTCATGCACGGATAAGCCAGTGGGGTGGTTGTTCCGGAAAAAAATTCGCTGAGGAACAGGCTGCCAATAATGCTTGGTCTCTCTCCTATTTTGTAAGGAAAAAGCACAATCGTGAGTAAGGGAGGACGGCAGCAGGTTGATTGGCTTGGCCGCTTTAAGAGGCCAGGGCTGCTGCTTGCTCAGAGCTGGGACGCAGTCGGCTGTCGTCGCGACGATGGGCGATGGCCGCGCAGCCCGCGCAGGCCACCGCTGCCGTCGCAGCGTCGGTGCGTCGCCTGACACACGTGCACAGAAGCCAAAGCGACGGAGGATAGAGAAGGGCTATCAATTCGCGAAGGCCGAGCGGAAGATACGGGAATAGAGAAGGGTGCGGCGGCGACGCTGTGATCCAGTGATTCGCGAAGGCCGAACGGAATATAGAGGCATGGACGTCCGAAGCTCCGAATCCCATGGCCTTGGATGGGGCTGGAAATTAGGCGGATTAGATAAGGCAAGACGCTCAAGTTAAACCGTAATATCGAGGACTGTATGCTGTGTACCTGTAGAACGGTGACACCAGGCCATACCAGATAGGCACTATGCAACCTCCCAGGCGTGTCAGAACCCGAACAGTGTTGTGGGAACCGTTGTTTGCCGTACCCTGCGCACGTATAGGATAGTGCTATCAGGGCATGCCAGGCGAACACGGTAGAGCCTGCCAGACGCGTCTGGGCATAAACAGTATTGTGGGCGTCGACAATCGTCTCGTATCGGATGGCATGGATAACAAGACTAGATAGCACACGTATGCACTCTCTCTCTTTCTCTTTGACTTATAAGGCCACCCCCTTCATCCATAA